ATTTTCTTGATTAATTATGCATATCCTTAAACAAATATTAATGAATATTATATTCTGTCCCACTATAGATTTGTGTGCATATTATTCCCCTGATGTACGTAAAATCCATGTATAGAGGTTTAAAAGGTCAAATCCCTTTTAAATATTTAGAACATCTATTTATTTATAGATTTTTAAGCTTTAAAAATGACAAGAAGTATGATTTTATATTCTATGTAATACTTACTAAAAACTTGACAATTTTAGTAAACCCTAATTAAAATTACGAACAATATGTATTTTACTCCTTTTAATAATTATTATAAAATAAGTTTAATACTATTAAACAACAAATAGAAAATAATTACAGTACCTATGCTTAATTATATTTGGGAGTAGGTACTACTACAGCTATCTGTTGGATATTTCGATAATGCATTGTAACTAGTAGTTAGTTCACTACGTTAGTGCATAGGTAGCACTATAAGTTATAACACATAGCCGATTGTCTTGGTTCTGCGCATAGTAGATAATTATTATATTAATAGAGGAGCCGTTCCCTACATACCCTGCACTTTACATTGGAAGACAAGCGATTCCTTTTTGCAGTTTGGCCTTAGACATAAAAAATTGTACATATAAAAATTATGTTTTTTGACAACATGCTCCCATGATTATTTACATTGGATAAGCACGATTTAAGACAATATTATCTCAATTCGTGGTCATTACATTTATTAATTATTACATAAAAGTGGGTTTTATGTAATTTTGCTACACAGTAAAAAGGGTCATTTGTCGAAGCAATTTTCGAGTTATGGTAGTCTTTCACTAAGGATGCGTTAAATGCTATTGTATACTAACACTATTAAGTTATAATTTATGCAAGTGTTATGTATTATTATTTATATTTTAAAAATTAGATTCATTATCTTAATAATATAGATTCTAAATTTATTCGGTATACATTTAATTTTACTAGAAATAGCAATAAGTGTAGATTAGAGTAACACATACCTCATTTGTTTATCCTCGATTTGTGCATGGACATCAGAAACCGTGCGAAAATTTATACTTGATTCCATATTTCCACTAGTACTATAAATAAACCAAACAACTATGAATAATCAATGTTTTCCTGTAAAAAATAAATTCCTACTTCGGTAGTTTTGGAAGGCTTTTCTTAAATCTGGCGATTCTGGGTACTGAATAATTTTTTTTTTTATTCTCACTTCTTACACTAGATACATTTATTCTTTGTTGGTTGTTTGGCATCTTGAGTTCTCCTATAGTATAGTTCTCAATGTTTAACGAAGGCATTATCTTTTTATTTATTCTGGAGTGATAACAATAGTTATAGGTAAATTATATACAAAGAAAATATGAAGTTTATGTTTACTCACAACAACCTCAAGTCTCCAAGTTCCTTAGATTCATATTTGGCAACTTTATAGTTCTCCCTGATATTAGGCCTAAAAAAATAACCCACTTAAATAAAGTACGTATATTTTGTTAAATAATCTTCAAGGATCTATTAATGAAAGAAACTTAAAAATATGTCGGTACTGGGCACCGGTATATTTTTCACTTTTTGACACAGGTTTAAAAAACAGAATTACATTTTAAAATATAAACTTTTTAAGAAATATTTTGACTAATTTTAAGCTGATAACTATTATACCTTTTAGTTCTAACGGATAAATTATCGCAAGCAGGTTTTTTGGTGCATACTGCCTCTACAGGGTCAGTAATATAAGCAGGCAACTTTGATCTGAACATCTTTGGTTTTTGTTTCTGAAATTCAGATAAAAAATTTAAAAATATGCACACAAACTACAAAAATATTGTATGTTAATGTGACCAACATAACATAATATATAATTTTATTTTTATTTTACATCAGAAATGTACAATCTGTACAATGAGCACAATAAGCATATATGATAAAATTAGAGATAAATTACATGAATACATTTTGATGGAAGAAACCACTCATTAGTGACACTTTCAATGATTTTTTTTTTTAATTTTTAAACTTATATTTACATTGATCTAATTATGTATAAATAATACTTTATATATAATTTACAAATTAAAATCATAATTTCTCTAAATACATTTTTTAGTTTGTATAAAATACAATATGTCGTAAAAATTGAACACAATAGTTCCGCAGTAACTAGTTCAAAAATTCTTTATATTCTTAATTTTTAAGAACATTAATTCATTTAGAACTAAAAATTTCGTTAATTTTTGTTTACAATTATTATTCAGAATAATTGTTTTAAAAGAAAATGTATAACTATTTAGTTATAATTACAATAATTACTAAACTATGAAAAACTATTTCTTTAACCTTTAGAATTATTTTATCTTTACATTCATTTGCCTTGAACTGCTTTTCTGGTTTGATTTTAGAAAATCCTTTTAGTAAATTTGCATTTAAAGTAGTATAAGTAACTCTCGGACTGTGGACTGGCGGTTTTATAACTGATAACGGCATTTCTTGATCTCCGAGATCGATTTGAGGAAAAGTAACCTTATAACAATAATTAATAAATTATCATATTATAATTTATATATGGTTTTTATAATCGCAATAGTTTACCAAACTAATTTACCTCTATTAGTCTTGAAATTGCGGCTAGGTTACAATAAACTACAAAATGTATTCCATTATCTTCTGAATTTTTTTGTGACACAGTATCCATTACTTGTTTCCAAAATTCTTCGGTGAAACCATAAATGAAGTCATACTCATCGTTATTCGTATTAAGTAGTTTCTCACTAGATGTTATAGATTTATATGAGCGGAGATGTGCTTAAGAGGATATAGGGACTAGGGCTAGAGCCTAGATCGTTACTTTTGTAATATTGATGGAAAATGAGAGAAATAAAACAGTATAATAATTTTTAAAAATCACAACCTTTATTCAAAATATCTTAAAACTATCTAGTTTTCACGAGTTGTTTTGTTATAATATTCAGTTTTAAGGTTAACTATTATAATACATTAAAATAAAAACTACCATCATTACAAATTATGAAAAAAATATCACGTATAGGAGTATAGGAGGGTAAAAGGAAAAAATATCCGTTGTAAAAGAATGACCAGTAAAAAATGTTCGAAAGATAATATAACCAGAAAATCATATTAACTATACATATAAATGTACTTGTGATTACTGATCATTATACTTGTAATGTGTTAGTAATTATAGTAATATATAAAAAAAAAAACAATATAATAGTAAGATACATAATATAGGTACATATATATTTATAGTTAATAGTTATGTTAAATAAACATAATACTTATAGTACAAAAATTATAATATTAAAAATAGGTAGGTTAAATTAGTAGGTAAAATTCTTAATTTATTACTAATATACGTAAAAAAATAATCTAAAAACTTTTTACCTTTTTATATATTCTGTTGTTAAAGCTGTTAATTTAATTTGATGTTTATTTTTTTTTTACGGTTGGCTTAATTGTCTGTAATAATTTAGTTTCGTCAACCGCAATATTACTAAACAGTAAACGTATTTTTTTAATGAAGTGCCAAATAATTTGATGATTTTGGTTGACAGGTTTAGAAATCCTTTGATTCCGCCCTTCTCTTTAATTTTTGGTAAGTTCACCATCACAAGTAGGTAAAGTAACATTTCGTCGATTATTTTTATTTCCTCAGTCATTCTTACCAAGGTATTTTTCCTAGTTTCTTATAGGGTATGCAACATTTAAAGATTTTCATTTTAATACTTACAGGCTTCTAAAGTTAGAATATTATATTTGGGGTACAACAAAATATATACACTTTAGTCACACTCAATACTTATTAATTTTTAATGTGTATTTTTTATGCTATAACAATTATTTTAGATAATAGTTACTACGGACCATGGAGAATTGAAGAGACACTGAATTAGAAACTCATTATTATTAGTTGTACGTAAAAATAAAAATAAAACAAACGTAGCTTGAGATTAGTTTAAATAGCCAACGGTCTATAAAATACTATTATTTTACATACCCTTTTTCTAGAATTTATCTCACAGAGACTATCTCACTTTTTTGTGTGTATTTAAAAAAAAAAACATTATCATAATTGAAGGGTCCTGAGAAGAACCGACTACCTCCAAATTTTGAAATTGTTTAAGACGGCCAAAAGAAAATCCATTGTTCCATTTACTGCTATTGGTGGGGAACAATGCGTTTTGTAATATTTTTGCAAGAAATAGTCAGGTTTTACTATTTGGTGCACGAAAATAAAAAATTATTTTTCCATGAAAACAATTTTTTTTTATAAAAAGTGGAGATAGCTGGTTCTCGTACCCGACCCTTTAATGTTTTAAATTAATACCTTATGTAACAAAAAGGAATCTTATTACTATAACTTTATAGGTTATTTTTTACTTCAAGTTGTACGCCTGTACGCTCGAGAAAAAAATATAAATACATGTTAATAGTATTAGTTATATAGTATTTACAGCAACACTAACTGTGGCTATTTAAATCGTATTATTTACTAGTTATAGAAAGAAAAATCAATAATACTTACATTTCAGGAGGCATTAATAAAGTTACTTAAAAAAAATATATAACACTGATGAAATTATCGAATTATTTGATTTGTCAAATGATTTGTTTACAAACAATCAAGTCGTATGGTGATTAATACTACATAGAATAAAGAAAAAAACAAATTTTTACAATGTGAAATAACAACGAAATCAGTTTGTCCACAAATAATAAACCAAATTATTTTATTTGCAACTATTATGGTTTGATACATATTTAAGTAATACTTTATAGCACGTCATTTGTTAACTATTTACGGCTTTTGCCTTTTAGATGTATTATCATTGATTCCAATTAGAATTTTGTTTTTAAATTTAAATTTATATTATAACCAAATTATTATGCGCGCTGTTTTGTAACACTTTGTAACCTCTTTGGCATTCTCAACGTCCATGTTAAACACGGTATGGTGATAACACAATTAGGGCAACATGATAAACTACTATATTATGTTTTTAAAGAGGAGTTGAATTTTTTAACGGATTAGGGATCGATACTCGATAGAAAAAAATATTATTCAAGGCTGGAAAGTGGTATACACTAAATACAACTATAAACTACATAAATTTAAGGTACGTGACACTTCGTATTAACCTTAATACATTGTTTTTACCTACTTATTATGGTTAATATTGACTTTGTTTAAACAGTTTTGCTAAAACATTTTGCTCAATATAATTATATTAGCCTGTGAAAAACGAGTAATATTTTTAAGATAATATTATTCTATTGTGATGTGCTCAATCAGAGATTTCTTCCCTATCGAATATAGTGAGTATTATGATTGAATAAATTGTTATGATTTTATAAAATACTCTTATCCATCTTATGAACAACATTATTTAGGAGTCGGAGGTACCAAACCATCAAAAAATTTTATTCAAGAAAATCGAAGATATGTTAAGAATTTAGAAAAAACCACACAAGCCTATAAAAGTAACGAAAATCAATCACACAAATCATCTTATTCTCAAGTAAAGGTATTATTCCTCATTTGAATATCTTTTAGTTTATTTATTTAATTATGATAAACTATTCGTTTATTTAATTAAAATTATTAATATTTCTAGATATAAATATTTCCTACCTACATATTTTAAAAGTAAATTAACCAATCGCCGGTGGAAGTCAGTTTAACATAACCATGATTTTATGGTTAATCTTAATCATCAACACTGAGGGCAAATGGTATATTATTTTTGGGAATATTGTTTTTTTTTAGGTATCTTGATACAACTCTTAGACTCCCCCTTATGTATTAATTCTTTATTCTACCTTCCTAGTCACTCCACTCATCCATCGAGAGTGCTAAAATGGACTAGTAGAGTGACTAGGGTGGATATAAAAATAAATGAATACATAAGGGGTAGTTTAGGAGTTGCATAATTTCTGGGGAAAATGAGACAGGATAGGTTTAGATGGTTGGGTCATGTTATGAGGAAAGATAAGGCAGTTGTTATGAAGGTTAATGTTGAGGGAAAGAGAGGAAGAAGAAGACTAAAAATAAATGGATAGACAAAATAGAGAGTAGATATGAGGATAGCTGTGGTGATTAAACAAGATGTAGAATATCGAGCGCTATGGAGGTGTAGGACTAGGTTGGCCAACCCCATGTAGTTGAGAAGTGTAAGGCGAATATTAAGAAGAAAAAGAGGATAAGTAGAATATAGTTTCATTTGTATTATTTCTTTTAAGTTTTAAAATTGCTTACATTTTGTAGAATTTGTAAAAATACCTAAGGAGTTGTAATATTTATTTGCCCAAAACTCATGTACTTTTAGATATTGCCTGTTTATTTGTAAGTACCGTTAAACATTTAAAGATTATCAATTTAAAATCAAAAACTAATAACTAGTACTTATTAGGTATTGGTTGTATAGGTTATGAGTAAAAAATAGTAAATGTTGTTATTTAAATATTAATTTTTATTTGTGCATTATGTAATCAATTGAAAAGTGTGCAATCACAAAATACGTTTTATAGAATTCTTATTGTTTTTTTTTTTGTATTCTGGAAGAAAACTTATATTATATTTATTTAACTTACACTAAATCTTGAATTAATTAATATCAAATCTTAACATTTATAAAATGAAGTATCATTAATTTATACAATTTTTACAAGACATTTGTAAGATATCTTGTATCTTTAGTTTAGTTTTTATTTTTATTGATATCAATTAAATACAAAGTATCCTAGCAACCAAAAAAAAAAAAACCCCTTCCATAATTTATCTTAACTAACCATTTAAAAAAAGTATACACAATAGAGAAAAAAATATATACATTACACTCCTTCTGCAGTCTGGTAAAAAATGAACCAAATATAATTTACTTTGGCTATAAAACTATGATACCCAAAATAATTACGAGTATTCTTTACTCATTATTTGCCTGTCAGCAATGGTACATCATTTTAAAATGTTGATTTCTTAGTTTGTAGATTGAAAAAGTTTTGGTTACAAATAAATTTGTTTTTATAATTACACTTTGGAGGCAAGGCGTCTTTCCAGAAAAGATAAGTCGTGTGTTACACTTGTGATTTATCTTCAAAGTGTAATACAAAACAATAATTACTACTGCACCTAGTACCTTATGTTTTTTATGTACAATCATTCCTATATATAGTTATTATATAATACTAATTAACAGTTTGTAATATATTTGTAGAAAATACAATCGAGAAATGGACAAAATAAAGAAGAAATTAAAACAAAAGATAAATCAGGAAAAAATTTAGATTTGGATAAAATTGAAGCTAGTATCCAAGCTATTCGTTCTGCCATAGCTCAAACGAAGATTACACAAAGGAAATTAAGTACTAGTACACATACAACAAATAATAAAACTTTACATGCGTTTAAAGATCAAGGTAATTTATTTGACTTATAATAATAGCTGCTTTTTTAGACTGTAAAGAGTCTTTTTTTAGGTTCTAAATAAATTTATAATAATCTATTCAAAATTACTAAAATTTTAGATATCTCACAAAACTTTAAAGTACTTCTTTGTAATTTTATTTTTTTGTATTTGATTGATGTTCAAATAAAAAATTTTATATTAAAAATTCTAACTCAAAAACCAATCAAAATGTTTACAATTTAATTTAAAGATTCTTAAGGGGATTGCATTCTCAAGGGTTCTGTTTTTTTTAAGTTTTAGACTAAAAAGCCACAACATTTTGATTAATTTAGATGGTACAATTTCAATTCTGTAAAGATGTACGAGTTCTTGGCAACTTTAGTAAAAACAGATTTTTTAAATTTTGTTTTTTTTATATAAAAAAATTGGGTTTTAATATTAAAAAAAATTGCAGATTTAATTTATTTAACTATAAGAAACTGAAATTGTTAAATGAAAATCAGCTTCCTAAATAAAATAGTAAAGTAACTAAATAACTTGAATCTCTTTACAGAATTGAAATTAGACCATCCTATGTAATCAAAAATGTTGTCTGGTTTTTTGGTCTAAAAAATCTAAAATGTCAAATCCTATATTTAAAATGAATGACATTGTGTTATTGATGAAAAGTATTGTACTAATCTATAAAGTTTTAGCAATTAAAAAAAAAAAGAAAATTTAATTATTTTAATATGTTTGAGCTTTTATAAGATATCGATGGTGACACGGCAAAAGTGTCTAAGCGACATATTTCATAGTTTTCAGGATGGCCACTATATAGGATAGTTCTTTTTGTGATTTTACTATTTTTTTTTTTAAGTTCCCAATAACTTTTTTTTAGTAACAATTGGGAATTTTTCAATCATATAATTATATTATATTATATTTTTCTAACCAATAGTATAAGCCGTGTCGCTTAGACCCTTTTGCCGTGTCACCATCGATATATTAATAATTAGTGGGTAAGAATAATAACACATTTTTTGTTTTTTTAGCTGTGCAAACAATTTTTCCATTTAATGAAGAATCAGTTTTAAAAGACAGTATAATCAGATATCCAAGTTATCACAGTGAACGTTTTGTAACTACAGCTAAAAGTAAACATATGAATACAATAGCTATTCAAACTGAAGGTGTAAGTGCAACAGAAACTTCAAATAGTAAGACGTCTTCAGAGCCGGTGGTTTCAATCAAACAAAAACATATTGTTACTGAAAAAAAAACTGAACCTGCCAAAAACTGTATAGCAAATACCGAGTGTCATCATCAAATCGGAGAGATACCTAAGTATAGATCATGTTTCTTGGAATTATTTTATTTTTATAAATTATTTTATACTGTTTTTTTTAAATTTTTATTAGATATCTTAAAAACAGAAAAGCGTTAAAGGAAAAAAACGCTAGGGAAACACAAAAGAAAATAGCAATTCGCCATGAATTAGGTCTAGATGATCCAGCTTGTCCACCAGGTCACATGTTATTACCCAAAACTGAACGCCTGGAACATTTAAATGATATTCAGAAAAGTATGTAAAAAAAATTTGTCTTACAAAGATTGGTTCAAGGTTTCTATAATTTGTACTGGTTTGTTGTAGAATACGATTACTTGATAAAACAGTTAATTATGATGCCAGTTAGTTCAGACTCGTTAAAAATTAAAGAAAAACGGAAGCACTTGGAACGAGAATTGGATAAGTTGCAAATCGGCATCAAGCTATTTTCCAGAGAAAAACTCTACGTTAAGGTTAATCCAAAGGTATTAGATTCCTATAAATAATCCTTTGTAGTATTTTTAACGAGTTAAACTTGATAGGTATAAAATGTATTTAACAAATATTTGATAATTGACGTAACTACCAGAAATAATGATTTAAAATAGGTAATAATGAAAATAATTTATTGCTATTATTATAGATTTTTTTTTTTACAACTATTTTAGTGAATTTATTTGTAATGATTAAACTGTGATTTAAATTTGACGATATTTACCTAATGATGCATAAAATTAATTTGTTAATTACGTGTCTTGTAACAACTTATTATATTGATTTTTAATTATATTAAAAATTTTGTAGTTATTAAACATTATGAACACAAATATATATAGATAAATTATATTTGTTTTGTGGACTTACAATAGTATGAAAAATAGTATGTGTAGGTGTTTAATATTTATGTCAAGTTCTGCAGTACATACATATACATTTAATTTTACTTTTAAAAGTTTTATTTTATGAACCATTATCTTACAATATCTTCTATGCTTGTCGTAATTTCAAAGAATAGCTTTTCAATTTTGCATCAAAGCTAAAAAAGGGAACTGATAAAATGATAACATTTGTTTTTTAATAATAATTAAAAACAATTCCCGTTTTAATGTACTAATCATAAGGCTATCAATGCCCGTCATGTTTCAAAAAATAAAAAATTTAAAACGTAGTAATACTTTGAGTCTATATTTTTACTTGACGAGGATATCAAAAAAAAATGTGGAATCAACTAATAAATATAATCAATTAAATCAATACAATCAATAAATTATCAAAAAATTAATTCATTAAATTTTACTGAACCTTAATCTGGGTTTTTTTTTTTAATTCAACATTACATGAATATCAAACAAATGTACCATTTTTGTTTCAAAATCGAACCTATTCAATTTATGAAAACAAATGAATAAACAGTTTTATAATGAGGAATTATATGCTTTATATATAATTTTTAGTTATTGATAAATATGTTTTTATTGTTACTTATATAAGTATTATTTCCTTAGGTTTTGATGTTTTTGATTTAAGCAAAGTAAATTTTAAAAATTATCAATACTATTATGATATTGTATGTTTATACATTTGTTTAAAAGAGTGCACTAAAAATTTAAAAGAAATAATAGTGTTACTATAAAAAACTTTATTTAAAATAATTCACCATTTTTCAAACCCTAATGTCCTAGAGCCTTACCTCATTGTTATAAGTTTAAAATAATAAAAAATTACATGTTTATTTTGTAATAATACAAATTATAACACAAACCAACTTGCCCCAGATATCAAACAAATGATACGTTTTTAAAAATGTTAATACATTTTCTAAAATTTAAATTTATTTTTTAACAAAGTTTCATTTTTTTCGCTGTCGATGGGTAATATCTACGTAATATTCCTATGTACTTTTAATAAACCTATACAATAAAATATGTATTGTTTTTAAAAAATTTAACACGTGTAAAAATAATGATTTTTATCTTAATAATAAATGCAGAATGCTCATATGTTACTTTAATAAGCAATCAAATAGAAAATGTCAATGCAAATTTTATAGAGGCACATAAACTATGTGAAATGTATATATTTACAAATTTCGTTTACAATAATTCTATAGAATTAAAAATAAATATAATTTTTATGTAGTATCGCAATCAATTGAAAAAAAAATTATAAATGCTTATTTTTTATTTAATATAGAAAGATCCATAGAAGAGTTAAACAAAACAAATCAAAAACTAAAAATATTAATATACAAATTGTCTTAAAAATATATAGATAGTATTTTAAAGGAAATCCAATTTTCGAAGAATTTTAATACGTATGTTATTTATACAGAAATCAGCATAACACATTTATGCTAATGTAGTAGGTAGGTAAATGCACCATACAAATATGACAAATTTAAAAAACACGTATTATAATTATTATAGTTAAATTGATTAGTTACACTATAAATTACAATAATTTTTAAATATTTTTTATCACAGCTATTACAACTATGTTTGATATTGCAACATTGGTGTAGTGAGATTTGCATGATGGCTAGAGTTCATCCTCAATGCTGACAAACTCTTATTGTACCATTCCTCTTCGGGGATCATTCCTAGAAGTGAAAAATCAAATTTAATAGATTATAATATTAAAAATAAGAGTTAATCGATTTCTAAAATGCACATTGGTGAACAGAAAAAAATACAAAAACACGGATTTTATTCTATTTTGTAATAGGTAGGTGTTATTGCTCTAAATCCACCACAAATAAGTTTATACAAATTAATTTTGCATAGGCGGGTCGGTTTGAAAAATAGTAAAAAAAACTTTACAATGACGCTGATATTGTCTGATATCTTCTAATATATAAAAGAATCATTATTTATTTATTATTATCCTTAGGTACTTATTTAATTCAGTACCTATTAAAAAATACGAAAAATGAGTTAAAACAAATATTATTTACCTGTTGATGTTGTAATAGACGACGGATTAGAAGAGCCTCCTGGATTGGAATGGTGACTCGTAACTGTGAATGGCTGGCTCATTACAGCAGTCGACATGTAAGAACTTGATGACATCTATACATATAACAGTATACATGGTTTAAATGAATGTATGATAAAGATCGCCGAAAATAATGAGTATGCGTAACTACTAGATGTTTAACTTATTTATGAGTATATATTTAATATAACATTAGTATAAAAATACTATAAGTACACAATTTCATAGAATATAGTTAGTTTGTTTGAAGTCATACAAAGTCATACATGCTATAAATGTTAAGTACCTATTAATTGTGTAACAATTATAATTTTTATCTACGTGATTTGCGAAACAGTTTAAATCACAACACTGTGTAATACAATTCTGACGAGTCTACATTTTAGTAAAAAAAACTCGTATAAAAATCATAAATTAAAAAACATAAGTAATACATTTGAAATAAATGGTCGATGTAAAGTAGGAAAAAAATGTTTTTCTTAACAACTTTAATTAGTTGTTTTATTTTGCTTGCGATATAATAAGGCCATAATTCAATCTGTCTTTAAGAGGACGTAATAGCCCCTATTTAATATGGAGTGAAGTATAGGCAATTCTTCGCAAAATCTATAGCGTATACTTATTAATACTAATGAGGATTCTTTATTGATTTTTTTTTTACAGACTATCACAGTCATTTCTATAGGATAAATTACATTTTTTCCCATCAAAACTGTTTTGAGGTGGTAAACTTATGAGGTCAATATTTATAGTAAAATTACCACATGTTTTAATATTAATACTCATTTTTAATAAAACCAAATAAAAAAAGAAAACATTTATTCTTACAAATAAATAACTTGAGTTTTGCTGTAATAAAAAAAATGTTTAAACGCTACGACTCAGGTAAAGTTCTTTACTGTGTACTGTACAAATTTTGTAATTCTACTATGAGTCTAGAAAAAAAAACTTAAGAAACACTTGTCGATACTTGTTATATAGTAAAGAATAGATGATGGAAAATTGTATGCGCTGATAATGGTAATATATTGCTGCCGAAATACGTATATTCTATAGAGTATTATTTATATTATGGTTAAGGGTTTATTTAAATATTTCATTATTTTATTTCTACGAGTACAACCCAAACATGTGACATCCTAATACAATATGTAAATACTAACAAACGAGATATTTTGACTTGTGTTTATTCCACATGTATAATATATTATGGACATATCCAAAGTCTGAGTGTACACCTGAATCAGCACACACAGACATACTTGCTTATACGTCTTTTTTTTTGTAATATAGGACAGCCTCGAGAGAATCAAATCTTAGTACTCTCGCAACAAAGCTCTACGACGCCATCCCGACAAACGGGCATATTTTAACAGAATATATGCAATCGATTTAAATTTGTAAAAAAAAAGTAATTAATAATTGTTATTTGTTGAGAGAAAATGTTAAATAACTACAACAAATATGCATAAAATGTATTTAAGTGAGTGTAAGCCAACAGTGAAGTTTGTTATTAAAAAAAAAGTCTAATACGATCGTTACCTGAGGGTGATATCTGTTCATGCTGTTGGGGTGTGGGTAAGCTTGGTACGTTCTAGAAGCCGTAGGGTAGATGTTTCTCATCATGGCGGCCCCATTACAACCCGGAAGCATGGAGGGCGGGGCTAAAGCCTTTTGCAGTTGCTTTTCCTGTTTTCGGTATTTGGCCCTTCGGTTTTGAAACCATACCTAAATAAAATACATAGTCATTGTCAAATGTTAGAACAGTTTCCCCTTTTCAAGTCATTACAAACTCATTTCATCACCGTGCGACTTATATATATATATATATATATGTATATAAAATATTCGAGGGAATGTATAGCTTTTTAAAACTCTGTAGGGAAAACGGGTATCCCTTTTATGTGCATGATGGTTACACGATGGACGATAAATTCAATTATGGCGGCCTTGTATGTAATGTTCCTGGGGACAATGATCGAGGAAAGTCCGTATGACTCACTGTAACCCTCTATCGTTGTACATAAGATTGAAGATGTAACTGGGCTTTGTTCATTCTTACAATACATCCCCTACATTATAAAGCTATCCGAAACCCACCGTATATTATCTACTACGCGTATCCCCGGTGTCCTTTTTTTGTGTATAAATACCTACTTTAAAATACATACTACTGTTGTTGTCTGCAAGTCTAATCATAGCGCATGGTTATTGGAATAACAATTTATTTATAGCCGATAGGTAGCTATCAAACTAATAATAAATAATACCGATGGCTTAAAAAAAAATAATGTAGATATTTACAAAACAGCGATATAAAGGAGAGTAAAATATTTTTAATGTTTTTTTATTACTTTCGTTTAAAGTACTTAACACGTTTTTCTACGTTTCTGGCTCATCAGTCATCACGATCAAAGTATCCCATATTTTAGATCTAATAATGTTAACGGTCGGTGTTTTAAAATAAAACTGAGGTATAATTATAATAAAAACGAGTATAAAATAATATTTGTATAACTGAAAAATGACATACTTGTATTCTGGCTTCATTTAGCTTTGTACTTCTTGCCAATTCCTCCCTACAGTAAATATCAGGATAGTGGGATTTTGCAAAAGCGGCTTCGAGCTCTGCGAGTTGTTCCTATGATATCATTATAAACATAGTTTGTATGAATTTTTAGAAAATTAATTATTATCTGTAGATACATAATATAAATACAATATAGGCTCGTTGATACCTGTGTAAAAGTAGTACGGTGCCTCCGTCTTGCAGGCGTTGGACATGTCGCAGTAGTGGGAGTGTGTCCAGTGTGACTAGTACTAATACTTCCTACTGAACTTAACGGCTCAGTTTTTAATTTTTTAAAAGCTCCTTCAGAAGCTGCAATAAATAAAATTGTAATGATTAATGTAAATATTAATAGTTCAATTTAATAGGTGTTTAATACATTTCTGTTTGATAAGTATAAGTAACTGTTTAAAATTGGAATTTGTAAAGATATTTAATTATAAAACAAACACATATATAGAATTATATTTTAACATGAATTCGTTGTTACATTAATTTATATTTTCATTTCTAACCACCCATCCTATTTAGCAAGAGATCTTTCTTAAGGGATAGAGTGGACAATATTTTATTTTTAATTATTGTGATTAGCTGTACTTGGTTATCGTCAACATTCTATCATCTACAAGTCTCCATAGGACTACAGATTTTATTTAGTATTAAAATATGTTTCAGAGGAAAAACATATTCATACACAACTAAAAATTGCAATAAATTAAAAAATAACACTACCTACGTTTCTGACGTCAGTTTTTGAAAAAAATCACATAACTTAATTGTTATTAGTTAAAACTGTATTATTTTTCGATTCTTAAATGTAAACGAGGATGAAACGAAAGGAGATGTCAGCTATTCATAAATTGTTTTTAAAACATGCAAAACCGTTAAAAATGATTAGGAGTAGTGTTCTTCCCGGACGCGGATATAAATTATTTAAGAAACGAAATATAGGAAGTATTTGACAAATAATTGATTTTATTTTATAATTAGCATTTTTGCGTATTTCCTTATTTTAGCTTCGATGCGTAGCTAAAAAAGGAATTTTTATATTAGTTATAGCTGTTTTTCGTGGCGAAAAATGATTTTATAAGAAAGACGAACATCTCGTAGCAGTCGGATTTCGACAATTCTATTTTGTTTGAAAGAGGAAGACTTTTTACAAGCTGTATAAACCTCCTATTTTGTATTCAGTTTTATTCGGATTATGTAAAAAAAAAAATGTATCCCTAAATAATAATACCTTCTTGAAAGGTAGATTACATTTTAACTCTTAAAAATAACAAAATAATGCACAAATTAAAAAAAAATTTAATTTTAATATTTTCCTGTTACAAATTACGTACTAGTTTGCTCAGCTAGAGACCCTCGACCCGGCGAAGGTGTATTATGATGAGAAGAGTCACCGGCAGTGTTAACAGGCAGACCATACAAGGACCCGAGGTCATTAGACGAATCACTAGCTCCTTTGGATAAACGTTGTTTGTCCCCGTGGACAGCACTAGGATGATGGTGGTGTATGTGATGATGATGGTGATCGTGGTCCATAAGACCTAATATACCACCCAAACCAGGTCGCAAATCATCCATCATGAGTTTGCCTTAATCAAGTGAAATCATTAGTTATTTTAGATATTGTACAACAAAAATAACACAAATACATAATATATATATATATATATATATATATTTCTGAATCACGATCTTCTTAACAATTATTAGTTTATGAATGTATTTAACGATTATCGTTTGGATTATCATATTATATAGGCAATGATTACAAACGCTGCACTATGTCGATTTAAAGAAGAAAAGTCAAAAATATTATTTAACGGTGGATTACAAAAAAAAAAAAAAAAATACATAGTCATAGTACAATACAACTAAAATTATGGTTGATATAAGGACAAAATAGGTACATTTCTTGTTGTAATAACTAAATAAATAGTCGGGCCACCTAAATTTTAAGTCAAAGCAACTATACATTTAGTTCGGCCAACTAAATGTTTAGTTGTGGACCAACTATGTATTTTTTCTCGTGTATTCATCTTAAATATTAAAGACTCATAGGCGGTCCACGCCTGTGTATATTTGGTCGAAAACAACTCCTTATAGTTTTAACTGTACTCGTCTACTACTACTTGAAACGCGTAATCCAACATTAGTTTTGAAAACAGGTATAGATTTTTAAATATTTACTTGATGCATCGGTCGAAGTACATTTTGTAATATTGTTGTAAAAATGATTAAAAAACTTTAAAAATTGCAATTTTTAAAATATAAATAATTATTTAACTAGAATTGTTGTTAAAACTGGGCCACGAACCGATGCCTTGTAAATGTTTGAATAACTCAAATGTTTTTTTCAAAACTTAAAATCGGAGTACATATTCTTAGGAATGCACTGTTTGTTGTTAAAACATATGTTTTTAGAAAAATAGAGCTTGTACGAGCTATAAAAGTTGAAAAAAATTTTAATATCAAAATAGATGCATTTTTGTTGTGTTAATAATAGATGAGTTTATAAATTTTAGATTGATATAAAGGTTTTTGAAAAAAATTGCCTTAATAAACGCCGGTGTAGAGATCCTTAAGTGGCAGTATTAGCGTAATATATTATACAGACATTTATCTACAACATATTAATACGTGGTCGCTTGGTGTCAAAAACTGTAAAATTACACCTCTGATTCCAGTAAAACTATAATAGAAATATTGGTAATATCAAAACACTCTAGTATAATATGCGAGGAAGCCGTCAGGTAGCACGTAGAATAAGTACCAAGAGGATGTGACAAAATATAGAAATTAACTGACTAAATTGACCAATTTAGGGTGATTTGAATAACTAAAAAATTACATTTATGTATTGTAAAGTAAATTTTTATTCTCGTGGTTTTAGAATGCATATAATGTAGCCCGGCAAGTATAGAAATTTAGGAGTTAAATTCATACACATCAATTGTTTTGAACTTAAATTAATTCTCTACGAGCACGCTATTTTTAAAATTTGACTGTAAAAATAAAAAAGTTAATAATAACCTTCATGAATAATTATTTTTAATATAGTTTATGCCAAATATCTTCTATAGTTACTATGTCTACAACAAACGTATGTCAATCAAAATAATTAATTATATTTTATTTTAGTTCATTTATAATTATCACAACCAACATTTTGTCACGAAGGAGGATATGATACATTTTTTTTTTGTTGCCGTGGTATATTTTATTGTACGGAAACTATTAGAATAAAACCTTACTTTAATTTAAACTCCTTAGATTGAACGGGGTAAATATGTCAACCTAATATAATATAATAATGACATTTTTAATACATTTTAACTTGGTGTATTTAATTCGATATTTCAATTCGTACAAACTATAAAGATTAGGTATATTTTTCAAAAGTTACTAAGTATGAGATCGACCTTTTTAGTTAAATAGATATAGATTTGTATAAAATGATGAGACATAATTAGATATATAAACTAAGTACAGTTTGTCCTTTGTGATGCATGTCCTAACTTAAAAGGTGTTGAAAAACGTTTAAAAATATTTTAAACCATCCAACATGAAGTAAAATTTTGTAAGAAGTAAAATTTTTGATAAAAGAAAAAAAAACAATCTTCTTGTTAATACCCACTACAAAGTGAATTCTTAATCTTGAGTGTTGGGGCCGTTAAATTTGTACAGCTTGCACTTTTTTACAGTTGCCGTACTCAAAATGTCAGGTGGTATAAAGCGTATTAATAATTATATTACTATTGTACCTCAGAACCAGACTAATTTAGGTAAGTCACATTATGTCAACTTTTAGCATAAAATCGTGAATGGTGTAGCATACGCTCTTATGAGGACTTAATAGGACTTAACTTACACTCTTTAACACACTTAAAACCCTTTTAAGTAAAAATTAGAATTGGGTGTACAATTTTATGTATTAAAATGTCTAAAGGTCATGATTTCCACGATAGTTTTTTCCTTAGATTAAAAATATCATGTGATATAAAACTTTTCACACGAAACATCTCTTAGTAACGATCAGTTTATTAGTTATTAAGAGGGCGTCGCACCGCCCATTTTTAAGGAGTAAAGTATAGACAATTTTTTACAAAATCTTAATTTAAAGGTTAAACTGTGATGTGTAATTATTAGTTCAATAACTAGGACTCTATTTTGGTAGTTGATTTATTTTTTGAACTATCACAGCATCCTCGAAAGCGATTTAAAAATGTTTTATTCATCTCAACTTGTTTAAGCAGACTGAAAATAACTCGCTTAATTTTGGATTTAAAGTAAAAGCACCCATTATAAAATTAAAAGAAAACAATATTTCGGTGCTTTTTTTTTCTATAATTTAAGTATAATGCTCAATACATAGTTTAGAAATAACGACTATTTTAACATTTGTAAATGACTATAACTTTCCAAAAAATTAATTTTTTTAAAAAAATGCACCGTCTTGCCGTCCGGAATATTGTTTTCTTTTAATTTTATAATAGGTGTTTTTACTCTAAAACCAAAATTAAGCGAGTTATTTTCAGTCTACTTAAACATGTTTTTACCACTGAAAATCACTGGTGCGACGCCCTCTTAATACAAAATAAGAAAGACCGTTTAAAAAGTTTTAAGTAAAGCGATGAGGCCACCACGTCTCATCCCAAAATCGCCGTCGATGATCGATCAATACCTATACAAGCGCTGTATCCCGAGTATATGAAGTATACATAATATATATATATATATATAAATTCTATATATAGAATAAAATATATATAAAAAATATTAAATATATATTAAAATATATATAAAATTCTATTATATATTAATTCTTAGACTTACCCGACGAAGTGTGTGTGGTGCCCCCGTGATGGTGTGACCCGTTGTTGAAATTTAACTGTCTGGAGAACAGTGCGGGGAATATGTTGTGCGGGTGGTGCGGATCACCACCCGCTACACCTTTCAGATCAATCGCGGTGCCCGTTACTGCACTCAGGTAGGCAATTTCTATACAAGTTACAGAGAGATTCTGGCGAAATTATTGAAGACTCTGATGGTGCTGTACGGCGTGCGTCGTAATCGCTGGTCGACTCTTCTGCGACGGCAGAACGAACCGTCGGATAACCGTGGACGATTGTGTGCGTTCGGATCGGTTGAAACTTTATTTAAAAGGTGAAAATTATAACGGAAAAACTTCAAAAAAAAATTGTATACTATTTTACGGAAACACGCAAAAAAAACATTGCAATTATTGGAAAAAATAAATAAACAAGAAATTGAGAGGCGATGGTTTAAATTGAATTGGTTTAGGATGACCGGAGTGTCCGATTAACGAAAGAGCGCGTCATCCGATGCCAAACTAGAAGTGACTAACGAAATTACGGACTAGTGATCGGCTGACTGGAAAACAGGGACCCGAGGACGGGGATAGGGCTGCTGGCGGGCACCAATGAGACGGGACAGGGTGCGCTTTGCTGCAATATTATTGGTTCGCACCGCCCGGACTTGCTGTCATGGCTGTTCCGGGAGGTAACGCCTTTGTTTTTGTGGATCCCCTAAACGATAATAATATATTATTTTGTAATAGTTTTCAGGGACGCGGAATGGGTTTTCCCCTTTGTAATTTTCCATCAACTCATTCTCTTTCCATCAAGCACAACTGCCATGTACAAAATATATTTACCTATGGGCTATGTAGTGGGTATATTTGTATATACTATGTATAATATAATGTACCTAAGCGTGTCCCCGCGTTCGTTCAATAATAATAGTATTTTATACCAACTAATTTTTCACCGGCAGAACAAATAATGTTAAAAATGTACACAAAAACGAATATGATACTACATGCACTTTATTGTCTATGTATAGCACAGCTTTTCCTTTGCAGTTTAACATTCAATTATAAATATTTATATACAGACTAAAAGGACTATAAAATATGAAACACCACTATTGCTTTTTGTTTGTTCAACGTACAACATATACAATAATTTCGTCTGTACCAATTTTTTTAATTTTTCGAAATTTTCACTGCAAAAAAAAATCACTATGATCGTCTCCCTAGACTTTAGAGGTCTTGTTCCATTTATTTTCTCCACTAAATTTTTTTTTATCAATAATTGGCCATCCGCTCTCCAGGCCATGAACAATTCAAATCGTTTACTTTTAATATAAGATAGAATATCCGGCTTGTTGTATAATTTTCGTAGCTCCACGTTTTTCTTTCGCTCAAATGTATTTGTTTCTTGATTGTAGAAGAGACCATAAGTTACGAAGTATACTTTGCGATCAAGTGTTATTTATTAATAATTTTCTTTCACGAAATACATATAACTAAAATTATGGTTAATATAAGGACACAATACATTTTAGTTAAAGCGACTATTTATTTAGGTATTCCAACTAAACATGTATTATAATTTATATTCCTATATTAACAATAATTTTAGTTACACCAACCATCTATATTTTTTTTTCGCACTCGTCTCCTTTGGTTAATGACAATGTCTCACTTGGATATGTCACTTTTGGCCGCCGCTAAGCTATGGTAATCGTATCTTTGTTGTACAAAATGATAATTTTGATCAAAGAGATAACAAAAATGATAACTCATGAAACTCAAAAAACGGGGTTGGAAAAAAAAATTAGATTCTCTATTCAAATTCTTAAATATTAAAATTGTTTGCACTGTCTAAAATTCATAAACCGGGAAATGTTTTGAGACCGATAATGTCGAATATAAATGTACCAACATACAATCTAGCAAACAATTTAGGAAATACCATCTCACAACCCAAGAACTTCAAATATTTTATCAGATTATCAACTCCAGGAAGAATAATAGACTAATATATTTTGATGTAGTAGCTCTTTTCCCGATCATACACATACCAGTGACATTACAATATTCGACAGAATGACTAACCGAACTACAAATAGATAAAGAAAAAACATTACAGAGTTAGCAAGTCTAACGAAGTTGTGTATGAGTCATAATGCTTTCCAATTTCAAGGAAAATTGTTTGAACAAACTGAAGGGACAGTAATTGACAATCTTTAGTTCCCCATTTATAACCTAGTTATTCATGAGCAAATTTAAAATAATTACAAAAACTAACTTTACCTACCGAATTCCCAGCAAAATGACAAAATGACAGTTGTACTTTTTTAACAATCGGTCATCATTTTCCAGAAAACCTACTATTTAAAATGATTGTATTTATTTTTTAGCTTCGATACGGAGGTCGATGTGTTTTTTCAAAGATATTTTCATTAATTTTTTGTCACCTGACCCATGACTAAATAAACAGGCATGACTTCTAGATAATACCGTGCAGGAAAATTGCCCTAGACTTGCAATAATACGTATTTTACAGTGTTAATTAGTAATTACTGATTACAAGTTATAAAATCTTCCATGACTAAAGGCAAATGCGCAAAGATAGGAAAATGTCGTAATCTAGCAATCATGCCTGGTTTTTTAGTCATGACCTGACCCACGATAATTCCTTAGCCGTTGAACCGATTTCTTCACATTGCACTTCTAATGCAGACCAGATATCGAACTTGTAAGTTTAACTCTTCCTCTTCGAAATCAAGAAAAAAACTCATAAGTTTATAAGTTTTGTCAAATCTTTTTTTATTAAAAAAATAAACCAAAAGGAAAAAAATCACACTTTTGTCGAATTAAATTTCAAAAGTATGTGTGAACAAATCAATAGTCAACAAGTTTCGGAAAAACATTTTCATTCTATTGTTCAGTGGCGTATTTTTTTTGGGAGGGGGTGTCCACGGTGTCTGGACACCCCTTGGCTCAAAAAAACGTGTTACACATGACAAATTTGTATTAAATATACAACAAATAATTACATTTTTTCTTATAATGAAACCACTTATTTAATAATACAAAGACAAAGGCATTCTATAGGTTTTACTTACATAGCTTTACATTAAGAGTTTCAAAAATATATTTGTTTAAGTTATAGTTGACCTCGGCAGTCGGCACCAATATATATTAGCAAAAACCGTAATCATAGAGACTGACGATGTACTGCAAAAACTAAATTTAAAAAAAAGACTTCTTGATTTTATAGTTTGATTATATATTATGATTTAATTTAGTTTTTATATAAAAAAAAAAAAAAAACGGTATATAAAAAATATAATATAATCAAATATTGTGAGTAAAAATCTTTAATTTATAATTACATAAAATATTATATTATAAATATTTACTAACATAAGTAAGTTTTTTGTGGTCAGTACTACTAAGTAGAAGAAGGGGGGGGGGGTGGCTTAGATTGAGTGTAAAAAAGTCTATGAAAAATACGAATATAGAAATTATGGACACCGGGTAGTACAAAATTGGACACCTCCCAAAACGTTGTCCAAAATACGCCATTGATATTGTTTATTACAAATTGATGTTCATTAGTTTGTACATATTATGTATATTATGAATTTCCCAATCTTCCACTTTAAATGTTCATTAGATTATTCTCAACTCGAAAAGTTTATATTTTAATAAGTGAAAGGAACTGGGAAATGGTTAATAAATAAATTATCACATTGACTTTTGCCAAATTGATTTTCAGCTAAACTGTACATTTATTACTATTTTTAAGTAATAATTATTATATCCCGTGTGTTTTTTATTGAAGCGAGTTTAAGATTTTAAAAAAAATCTTTAAGTCGTCGGGAGACACCTGTATAAACTATAAGCATGGATCTACTCTAAAAACTTACTGTAGGCATATGACATGATTATTTTAAACCAATAAACTGTATTAAAAAAATCACTTTTGATCGAAAAATATTATATACGGTGACGTTATACATACGTGTACTATTGTATGCTGTCAGTATAGTTTCAACACGTCCTTCCAAATAATTGTCTTGCATTTAAAATTTATACACAAAAATCAAATGTTCGCTGGCTCATATTTAAGTACTTTCATAACGTTTTGCTTATGCATCAAGTTTATGAATGCAAATGCCGATGACCGTGTAAATCAGATGAACGATCTTCTAAAAAGTATCGGAAGGCGTCATTTAGAAAACATAAAACTCGCAGTGAAATCCAATGATGTGGCGCGTTACAGTGTTGACGACTTGCTTGAGTTAAATGACAGAGGGTCGATAGTAACCGAAGACAATTTAGAGGATAAAATTAAAAATTATAATCAGTTTTTGGCTTGTAAGTTTGCTTTTACATTTATTAAGTTCATGAACTTCCAACTCGTTTTAGAAATGCGGTGCACGACATTGTCAAATGTACAAGAAAATTTAAGATGTCTAGTCTTGGCCTCAGACGCAATCATGAAATTGCAGTACGTTGAACGGCGCATAAACCACGCGCTACAATTTTTTGAGCAGTTATCTTCAGAGCAACAAGAGTTCAACAAGCAACTATCCGAAAAATTAAAATATTTTTTCGACAATTACAGGCCCGCTAATTCAGAAAAGATTATTTTTTTAATGATGCAAACCAAAGAAGACATGGCCTCATATTTTTCTAATTTTTGCTGGATGGAAGATTTCGTTCAAGTTATTATGCTACCATTTTTAGATATGCCAACGGAAGATTTAGCGAGTTTAGTTAAAAAGCGTGTAGACAATTTCAATTATATAGTTTACCCAAACTTTGGGTTAAAATACATCGATCTTGAAGTAGACGGTTTGATAGAAGACAGTATAGAATAGTAAGATTTTATTATTATATAATTTGTAATATTATTATTATTAATTATATACCTAATGATATTTTATTAAAAATACTTATTTTTTAAACTACATCGTAATTTATAATAATAAATGAACTTTTATTGAAACATATTTCAATTTTTTTTTTTTTTTTTTGGGGCTTTTTAAAATGATTAAAAGGCACACTTCCTCGCTCCATATAATAGGTACGTCATGGTGCATCCATTTTTTCTGAAGAAAAACGTAGAAAACAAATTGTTTTTGCATTCTTTCCATATAGGAAAAAAAATGTAATATTTTCAATTTATCGTCAACCAAAATATCAGTAAATAAAATGATATAATAACCTTACTAATAATTGGACCTTACAGTATAATAAAGTAAATTGATAACAATTTAATTTATTATAATTAGTTTTTATTTTTATTTACGGTGATAATAAAATAATTATTAGTGAAAAACACAGATTTATATAATAAACTAGATTGCTAACTGTACATGCCACCAATAGAGAAGATTGAAGCAGCCACTTTCCGCCATCTTGGTGGGAATTAGAACCTTATCACGTGAGAATAATAAATGCTTATAACAATAACAGATATATATACATATAATATTGATATAATAATATGTACAGATAGTA